TGATTGTTACATACCATGATTTCAGATATATATATATATATATATATATATATATATATATATACACACACACACATACAAACCTAAATAACACATAAAAAAACTGAACATTCAAGCACAACAAACATTTATGGTACAAAACAAAACAACCCCTTACCAAAATCACATTATGATTTATATCGATCGCACAAAATACAGCTACCTGGTTAACCTGCTGTCTTATACACCAAAGTTGCTCAATCTGTAATGTTATCAAATAAGTGTTAAATGTCCAGATATTTCATTTAATAACAACAATTATGTAATGTGTTCTGTTGTTGTTGTTAGTAGTAGTATCAGGTTTGCAGTAACTTTTGATCAGGCATTAAAAACAGCTATCACCACCGAAGGGAGATTTCGGCATGGAGGATGAAAACCACACTCAACGAGTGAGTAAAGTCGTTTTTTATGTGTTTAAATCTTTTTATTAAGGTATTCAATGAAACAATCCAATAGTTATTGTTACATACCATGATTTCAGTTATCAATAACACAAAAAACTGAACGTACAAGCACAACAAACATTTATGGTACAAAACAAAACAACCCCTTACCTCCCTCCCCACCCTAGGGACTTAAATCATACCACACTAATGGTGATGATTACTCAGCCTGCATTATCAAGATATAGGAGAAGAAAAGACCAAATCTTATCCTATTTATTTACCAAAAGGAATCAAATTTTTTCTTAGCTTATATTTAACTTAATCATTTCTTCCAACCAAAGTTTAGCTGATGGGGTTTCTGTCGTTTTCCAAAACCTTAGGATAAGTTTCTTTGCCACAATAAGTCCATAGGACAGCAACTGTTGTTCAGGTTTTTTAAGTGACAGGATTTTATCAGAAATTCCAAATATCACAAGAAGTGCGTCGGGCTCTAATACACTGTGTAAAATATCTGACAGAGTTTTAAATACTTCAGGAAACAGTAGCTGATTCAGAAGCGCCGGATTGTCATAGCAAAGTCAGAATTACCTCTTCTCCTAGGTTCATGAAACGGTCGTCCATAAAATGCATTGCTGTTCTGTTGTAAGTCATCTTAAAATAAAGTGCTTTTGCTTTCGTCTAGAAACACACAGCGTCTCTCTGACATGCTGCTTCAACACTAACTGCGGTTACTGAAACCACGCCTTCTTTCTTTGCGTGCACATTTGGGCGCATTATGCTAATATTCCCACATAGTGAGGTAGATATGTGGGGGCGTGTTAGAACGAGCCGTTTTAGGGGGGCGTGGCAGTCTTAAATTTGATAAAGAATATCTCTTTGGTTTTGAGACTTTAGTCTTTGCAACTTCAGGGATCTTATCTATGCACAATCAGCTTGTAACACTCCAAAGAGAAAGGAAAACGTGAAATCACATCATATGACCCCTTTAAACTCTCTGTAGAAGGTAAGTTCTTTGACAATGAGTTGTACAGTAAAGATATCAGATGACTGACCCCACCTCCAAGCCCCAAGAGATCATCCAAACTAGCAGGAGTAGCCTCATTAAGACTGGGTGTGTGCTTTCTTACGTAATCCCTAATCTGCAAATATCTAAAAAAAAGTTACTTGCATGCAAACCGTATTGATTCTGCAGCTGTCTAAAGGAGGCAAAAGTGCCTTTTATGAATAGGTTTCCAATAGTCTGAAGACCTAAGTCCCTCCATTTTGTAAAAGCAGCATCCATAGTAGAAGGGATAAATGAAGGGTTCCCGCTGATTGGTAAAAGGAAAGACAATGGCTTTATTGCAAATTTTGATTTGATCTGCTTCCAAATACGAATTGTACTATGAATTACACAGTTATGGCTATATACTGACTTGTCTATCTTTATAGGAGACAGTATGACTGCACCAATATCATATGGTCTACATGCCTCTCTTTCCATTTGGATCCAAGTTGAGTGTGCTACCGTATGGTCTAGCCACATTATGATGGTCTGAAGAGCACAAGCAGAGTAGTAAAGGGCAAAATTTGGAAGTGCCATTCCACCGACAGCTTTAGATTTACAAAGGTGTGCTTTACATATTCTGTGGGCTTTATAATCCCACAAAAAGGGTATAATAATGGAATCTAGTTGTTTAAAAAAACTCTTTGGTAAAAATATCGGGATGTTTTGAAAAAGATGATGAATTTGTGGGAGAAATATCATTTTAATAATATTAACCCTTCCTATTAAAGAAATAGGCAGGGATCTCCAGAACTGAATGTTATTTTGCAGTTTAGTCACTAAAGGGGTGAAATTAGCTTTAAATAATGACTGAAAATCTTTTGTGACCTCAATTCCTAAATATGTAAGTTTATATTGCGTTATTTTAAATGGGAAGGTTTGGAGAACGGAAATATCTGACCTTTTATAGACATTAATTCACCCTGTAAAGCTGAAAATACACTGTAATGACAGACCGTTTCTAAGATTATTGAAATAGTAGACTGAGGTTTAGTGATATATAACAGGATATCATCAGCATATAATGATATTTTTACTGTAGCTGTAGCTTACTGTATTCTTTGTGCCATGTATAGTGTGCAAGGGGCTCAAGGGCCAGGGAGAAGAGTAGAGGGGATAGTGAGCAGCCCTGTCTAGAACCTCTATAGACAGAAGCTTGTCCATTACAGAACTAAGTCTAATAGATAAAGCCTTAGCCAGGATTTTTTGGTCACATGGCAAAAGTGATATTGACCTATAGCTACTTACTTCTACTGGAGAAACAATGACCAGATCATCTATGTGTGTGTTTTGAGAGTAAATTATATTGAAAAGACGTCTGAGATTTGAAAACGAGTGCCTATTAGGAATAAACCCTGTCTGATCGGGATGAATAAGTTTGTCCATTACAGAACTAAGTCTGATAGATAAAGCCTTAGCCAGGATTTTTTGGTCACATGGCAAAAGTGATATTGACCTATAGCTACTTACTTCTACTGGATCCTTCCCTTTCTTAGGTGAGACCGTTATGATGGCTTCATTTAAAGTGGGAGGTAACCTGCCAACATTATATGCTTGAGTGTACATTTTGAATAGAAGAGGTGAGAGCAGATCGCCAAATTCTTTATAAAACTCACTGGAATAGCGTCTGGGCCAGGGGCTTTCCCACATTTCATTGTCTTGATGGTATCTAATATTTCTGAAACAGAGAGCTCAGCATTGAGGGCATTACGATCTTCCTGGACTAAAGTGGGAAGGTCACAACTGTCCAAGAAGTTTTTGACAACTAGATCATCATTTAAGGACCTAGAAGAGTATAATTCTTCGTAGAATTGTCTGAATCTCTCATTGATTTCATTGTGATGTTAAAATTTTTAATAAAAATGTTACATGTTTATATTAAATATATTTATATAAAATATATAAGTATAAATGTAAATATTTTCTAAATATATTCTGTATGTGTGTGTGTTTATATATACATAGTAAACATGCATATATAATGTAAACAAAAACGTTTATTTTGGATGCGATTAATCATGTGACCGCACTAATAATAAACCCTCAAATTAACATTGTATGCAAACATGTAATTTGTTTTTAAATTCACTTCTAAATTATACGATTTCTATTTGTTGTTGAAATATAATTTACAGAGTCATAACTTGTTTCATAAAATATTTATTCATCTTTGCTCTTCAGTGTCCTGAGAAGAGCTCGGATCCCCTCGTGATTCTGCTGCTGGTGCATTATTATCGGTCATCAGCGGCTGGTGTGGAAATAATGCGTTCGACTCAGATTCCTACGTGTGTTCTGTCTCCGGGGCGCCGCTCGCTTCATCTCCACTGTTTGCTGTGATTTCACATTCGCTGGAAGACTTCCACAGAAAACAGTAACGGTTATGCATTATCACTAATATCTGCTGCACTACTAGATCAGAAATGATTCAAACTGATAATCCAGTGAATTTGATACATTATAGGCACATTATACATTAAATAATTATTACATCACTAACAGGTAAAGTAAATATAATGAAGTATAGTCTAATATTTTGTGAAATGCTCTTCTCTGCCCTTGATTTCTCGAGCAAATATTTTTATTTATATTTTTTAATAAAAAAGCTGTTTTAATGACATCTTTCCACGGTTGAAACCCTTTCAAATACCCCTGATTATTTCGTGTGAAAACTAGTAATAAAGCGGAAGGGATGATTACACTGTCGTTAGAACTTATTCTCTGAATTTCCTGAAAAATTGGAAGGATTTGTACACCTGCGTACCGAACCGAAAGACCCGTACTGAGAATTTCCGGTAGGAATACGTGTAGCATTACAGCCCTGCTGCTGTTGCTAACGCTGTTCTTGTCTTGTTCTCCGTGGCAGAATCCCACACGGCCCTCACTCCGTGCCGCTGCACCTGTGTCACCAGCTGGACTTCTCTCAAGCCTGCGACTGCGGCCGGGCCTGTGTGGACTCCTACATCCAGACGGCCGTCAGCTTCAACCTGCACCTGGTGTCTCACACCGTAGTGTTAGTGGACAACATGGGCGGCACCGAGGCTCCGGTGCAGAAGCACTTCTGCTCGCTCGTGTGTTACTGTGAGTTCATGGACGGCTACGTGCAGCGCGACCTCAGATGACCTCACTGACCTTCCGTTTCAGTGTTCTCTTTTAGCTCAATGTTTAAGGGTTTGTTCACTGGACAAAGACCTTTAAATTCCAGCATCGCAACATATGTTTTGTGAAATAAATAAAAGTCATTAAAAGAAAGAAAAATGATTTCACATCACAGGTTTCTGTATTTGTTCCGTTTCCAATTTCAATCAAGCTTTTTCGTTTTTTCTTCAAAAGGTCAGTCTCTGTTTTAAGTTCATTTCTGAACGAAACTAAACAGAGTTCTATTTTACTCTACATTTAAACATTAAACTTGTGTCTCTGAACTAAAACACAAACTAAATGATTTTCATGAAAACAAAACTAATAACTATCACACATCAGTTAGCTAGAGAAAACTACGTTTAGTCTAACTCTAGCAGTTCTGGAAGCACAAGGTGTTGAGTGCAGATGAAGACGTCAGGCTCGATCTCTCAGAAGAACGCCGTTGTGCTCTCGTGGTCTTCTGAAGAGCGTCTCATCTTTGCTCTTCAGTGTCCTGAGAAGAGCTCGGATCCCCTCGTGATTCTGCTGCTGGTGCATTATTATCGGTCATCAGCGGCTGGTGTGGAAATAATGCGTTCGACTCAGATTCCT